GTATCTGAATGGTGTAACCTCATTTGTATGATGTTTCTGGAAGTGTTTTTTGAAGCCTTTTATCTTTCCCCCAAATTGTGAGCATTGCAGGTTGTTTTGTATCTTAGTGCATTTACTTTCCAAGTTACCATTTTGTAACTTTAAAAAATACAGAGAGGCCTTGTGCGATAAACTGCATTTAACGACAGGTTTCAGAGTGGTAGCTGTGTTAGTCTGTATCAGCAAAAACAACGAGGAGTCCTTGTGGCACCTTAGAGACTAACAAATTTATTTGGGCATAAGCTTTTGTGGGCTAGAACCCACTTCATCAGATGCATGGAGTAGAAAATACAGTAGCAGGTGTATATATATTAGACACACACACACACACACAGTACATGAAAAGATGGGAGTTGCCTTACCAAGTGGTGGGGTCAGTCTAACGAGACAATTGAGTTCTGACATTAGGAATTATAACATTCAAAAACCAGTAGGAGAACACTTCAACCTCCCTGGTCACTCAATAACAGACTTAAAAGGGCAATTCTTCAACAAAAAAACCTTCAAAAACAGACTCCAACATGAAACTGCAGAACTGGAATTAATTTGCAAACTGGACACCATCAAATTAGGCCTGAATAAAGACAGAGTGGATGGATCATTACAAAAACAGATTTTACCATGCTAATTTCCCCCTACTGTTACTCATACCTTCTTGTCAACTGTTTGAAATGGGACACCCTCATTACCACTACAAAAGAGTTTTTTCCTCCCTTGGTATTCTACTATTAATTGAATTGTCTTGTTAGACTGACCCTGCACTTGGTAAGGTGACTCCCATTTTTGTACTATGTGTATAGTGTACACACACACACTACTGTATTTTCCACTCCATGCATCTGATGAAGTGGTTTCTACCCCACAAAAGCTTATGCCCAAATAAATTTGTTAGTCTCTAAGGCGCCACAAGGACTCCTCGTTGTTTTTGCATTTAATTAGAATGTGCCTATGTTTATATTTTTGTGATCCTTCATGCAGCTTGTCACACATGTGGTGTACGTCATCCAATGCATTAAATGCCCCAATAACTGCGTGGGTGAAAGCAGACAATCACTATGCTCTCAAATGAACTTACACAGAAAAATAATAAAAGACAAAAACACTATCACCTGTGGGTGAGCACTTTTCACAAAATGATCACTCCATACCTCACCTCTCAGTCCTCATCCTCAAAGGAAACCTGCACAATACCTTCAAAAGAGGAGCCTGAGATCTTAAATTTATAACTTTGCAAGACACTAGATACTCATGGTTTAATAAAGGCATTGATTTATGGCTTATTACAACAATATGTATCCCACTAACCCCCTTCTTTTGTCCTATGACTGAAGAGGTGTTAATGGGCCACTTCACCTTGAATAGTCCCTTAGAATATGTATTAATGACTTATGCAAAACAATATATGCCACCTTGTATTTAGCTGTGACACTCCCTGTACCTTTACCAGAGATGAAGAAGAGCTCTGTCTAGCTTGAAAGTTTGTCTCCTTCACCAACAGAAGTTCTTAATAAAGATATTACCTCACCCACCTGGCATGAGGGAATGTATTTTTACCATAAAGAAAGTATTTTCCTATATTTTAAAGGTTATCATCTCTATTTGGATAAATACTGAATGCTCTGAATTATATTTAAAAACTTAAAAAATAGACATCTAAAAGGAGGTGATGATTGTAGACCCTGAATCTTGTAAACTGATTAATATCCAAGCCTAGGAAAGCCCCACTGCAATACCCGTACAGTTTCATCATTCCAGCGTAAGCTGTGTAGAGGTGAAAAGCAAGGGTGGCTTCTTCCCAAGTGGAATGTCTGACACTCAGCTCAGGAAGCAACTCTGGGCCAGTGGAGCCTCTCTTCACCTTAACCCACTATAAACACAGACATCTGATAAATGGTCTTGCTCTCCGAATGTGTGAAAGCTCTCATAAATATGATGTAATTTTAGTGGGTTAAGTAGACATATTAAACTGTCTCACCGTTTTTCCTTCCTTCTCACATCACTGTCACCATAAGATTTGTATTTAAACAGGTTTTTCCTTTATGAAAGGCAGCATGACTAGTGGTTAAAGCATATTAAGAGTTGTAGGTGCTAATCCTGTCTCTGCCACAGACTCTGTACATTGGTGGACATGTCACTTCACCTCTCATTATTATTGATTGGTATTGCAGTAGAGCCCTGCAAATCCTCAGATATCCATGGACCATTTTTGCAGATCATGGATTGGATGTGGATAGAAATTTTGTATCCACGCAGGGCTCTAGCTAAAGGCCCCAATCAAGACCAGGATCTCAATGTGCTTGGTCACTGCCAAAACATTCTAAGAGAAAGTGCCTGTCCTGAAAAGTTCGCAACCTAAGGGGCTGTCTACATGAGGACACTCAGGAGAGCAAAGACAAATTAACTAAAGGTATGAAGTTAAAGCATATTAAATCCCTTTGTGGATGCTCATTGAGAAGTAAAGTGTCTGTTGTTTGCTTTATCATCTGGGGATTAAATGGCAGAGTCAGACATAGAAACACAGGTTTTCCTGATTCACCTGCAAAATGGGGACAAAACCCTACACTACAGAGGCACTGTAATGCTTTACACTAACAACTGCAAATTCAATTCAAGAACACTACCCTGAGTTTCATCCTGCACCCTGACACCACTTCCATCTTCTCAGGTCATCAGGCTCTCAGGCCTGTGTCGTTGTGGGCTCTAGGATATTTAATTCAGATACTGATAACATTGGTCTCTCCCCACTTCTAAATTAACTCCTCAATGCCTTTTGATTTCAACGTGCTTTTTAAAGTTATGTTTACTGTTGGCCCTGTGAATATTACTTCCCATCCCATTCACTCTGTCTTCTTTGTAAAAGTTTCGGAATCAACCTGTTCTACTGTCAGCTAGTATATACACATAACACACACATTTACTGCAGCTTCTTAATACCAAAAGAAAAATGAGAAGAGAAGAAAGTTCCCCTAAAAAGACCACAATCAGCAACTGAATGCAATTCAAGAACCGTATCGGGTTATTACAGTATGTTTTCTAATGCAAATCTCACACCATAGACAAATTTAATTTTTTTAAAGTTAATATTAAAATTATCTAATATACAGGTTACTATACTTGATCTTAACCATTAGCTACACAGACACCCCTATCCACTAGTTTACCTACTGTATTTTCTCTTGCCATTTAAAAAATCCTAGGACAGTGAATTTGATAGGGTCCTAAGCATAGTCAACACTCATGGAATAAGAGATCATTTGACATCGCCCCATACTTTTGCCGCCCATATCTTCCCGGGTTGAAAAAGTATGTAGATGTACCCTAACGCACAAGTTCTAGAGCTACAGCTACACCACTATAGTGTAGACACTTGCTACAGCGACAGAATGTTTTTTTCCACCACTAGAGTAAATCCACCCCCTTGAGAAACATCACATAAGTCACTGGAAGAATTCTTGAGTCAACTTAGCAGTGTCCATACTGGGGCTTAGGTTGGCTTAGCTATGTGACCTCTGTGATTTATGCAGGGGCCACTGTGGCTGTCTCCGGGGCCAGCTACTCAAGTGGCTCTGGGACAGCCACCCTAGCCACTGCTGGAGCGGCCCAAGGGACAGCCACACCAGCCACTGCTCCGGTGGCCTCCAGCCCCAGCCAGGGCAGCCATGGTTCGCAGCCCCTGGCAGCTGATGCCTCTGGTCCTGGGGTGCCCCCCCATGCCCTGCCCCCTGCAGCAGCAGCCCCCACCAGGTCCCCGCAAGATTTAATCACAGGTATTTTTAGTATAAGTCATGGACAGGGCACGGGTTGTGAATTTTTGTTTATTGCCCATGCTCTGTCCATGATTTTTACTAAAAATACTGGTGACTAAATCATAGCCTTATCCATGAGTGCTTAGCTAGGTCAAACTAATTTTTAGGTGTAGATGGGGCCTTGGATACAACAAAAGTCAAGCTCCTGAGAGTTTAGAATTGATCTATTGTTGTGTAGTGAAAAAAATAATCTCCCATTGTTCCATATATAGTGTCTGTCCTCTTAACTATTTTATTCCCTTTGGTAACTTATTTTCTGAATTTGTCATTGGATAAATTTCAGAGTAGCAGCCGTGTTAGTCTGTATCCGCAAAAAGAAAAGGAGGACTTGTGGCACCTTAGAGACTAACAAATTTATTTGAGCATAAGCTTTCGTGAGCTACAGCTCACTTCATCGGATGTATCCGTAGCTCATGAAAGCTTATGCTCAAATTAATTTGTTAGTCTCTAAGGTGCCACAAGTCCTCCTTTTCTTTTCATTGGATAAACACTTCCAGCCAACATTACATAAAGTATACCTGAATCCAGATTTCTTTCATTCTTGCAGCAATGAGAACAAAAAACAAACAAACAAAACAGGACTGAATGCTGAAAGCACAGCAGTGCTATGAATTGCAGGTCATGCAACAATATGCACATTCCTCTCTTCCACTTAACTAAGTTTGGCTACACCAGGATGTACTCAATGACAGCACATACTCTGAATCAACAGCCTTAAGTCAATAAACGAGTTTATTAACCCACCAGCACAAATTCCCTTTTAAAGCCTTCTTAACCTACAAGAATAAACATGCATAAGGGAGTCTCTACATGAGTCATTTTCATTTAAAAGTAATGTCTCAATGTTACTGGCGAAAGAATAAAAGTCCCTATAATGCAACAAAACAAAAAAGGAACCAGGAAGCCCCAGCTTTGCACTTAGTTTACAGACACTCATATGACTGAAGGGATTTTTAAACCCCTTGCACACGTCTAACAAAACACTTACAACACCTTAAAATCATTAACAAACGCCTCCAAGAACAGCCTGTGAGATGGGTGTTTACACAGAGGGGAAACTGAGCCACGGAAGGCTGGATTACTGCTGGCTGTTACGCTGAAGTGAGTCACGCCCGCCCTGGCACCAGCGCTGAAACTGAGCGCAGCCCTGGGCTCATGGAGCAGCGAAGTGAGGTGCCCGAGGCCACACCGCCAGGCAGTGGCCGAGGCTGGGGCAGCGCAGAGTTCAGCGCGCCCCGCAGCCTGGTCCCACGCAACCCCAGGCTCGCCCGGGGCACAGCGGGCGAGAGAACCGCTGAGGGTGTCTTGGAGGAGACCCCAGCCCAGCCCGTCCCCCAGGTGAGCCAGCACTGGCCGAGTTACCGTTTGCTGGCGGGGCGCAGCGCTGGCGGGGGCTGCCCGGCGGCACTGACCTGAGCGGCCCGGTTCCCCTCGGCGTGGCGCCCCGGGGCGCGCGCTTTGCCCCGGCCGGCGCAGGTGCGCGGGCGCTTTGCTCACGCCCGGGGCTGGAGGAGACGCGCGCGCAGCGGCCGCCCCTGGCCGCGCACTGGCCCCTGCGCCCGGCTGCCTCGGGCGAGTGGACTCCGGCGGCCCGCGTCCGAGCGCCAGCGCCATTGGTTCTGGGGACGGGACCGGCAGGCAGCTATTGTTCCCACGTGATTCGGAGTGGGAGCGGGGGGGAGGCAGTCCGGGGCACTGGCTCGGCGGCGCTGCTGCGGGGCAGGTATTCCCCCGGGCGCGGGCACACGGGAGAAAGGGCTGAGAGCAGCCCCGGGGTCACTGGCTGCACACGGGGGCAGTTTTAGCAACACTTTTGCAGGAACAAGGGGAGGCCGGGCGGGTGGTGTTTCTTTGCCGGTTAGACCTTTCCCGTTCAGCAGGTACATTCGGGTGCAAACTTTCCACACTTTTCGCTACAGAGTATTTGGTTTAACAGGCTTTCATGGGTGCAGTAAAATGCCAACACGTAGGTCTCGTCTGCACCCAGAGTTGTACAGTACCTCTCTAGTGGTGTAGTTAACGTGGTGCAAGCCCCTTAGCGTGGCTGCAGTTGTACTGGTCTAAAAGTGGAAATAGTGGTGTAGCTTACTTCCAGACAGGAAGGGTAATAAACTACATCAATGTAAGCACTTTTAGACTGGTTATAATTGCATCCATGGTGGAGGTTGGACCAGTATAACTTTAAAAGTAAAATATCACCCCCAACCAAAATAGTTATATCAGGGTTTGGTTACAAAGGGATGGAAGGAATCACGACCTATTTTGAGCTCTGCTATTGACTCCCTGTGTGACAGTGGACAAGTTGTGATCATTGCTACTTTGTGCCTCAGTTTTCTTGTCTGTAAAATGGGATCATTAATACTTTCTCTACCTCTCAGCAACGTTTTGAGCCTTAACTCATTCATATTAGTAAAGTCTATCTATGTAGGCCTTGGTCTACACTAGGAGTTGAGGTCGAATTTAGCAGCGTTAAATCGATTTAACCTTGCACCCGTCCACACACGAAGCCCTTTTTTTCGACTTAAAGGGCTCTTAAAATCGATTTCCCTACTCCACCCCCGACAAAGGGATTAGCGCTTAAATTGGCCTTGCCGGGTTGAATTTGGGGTACTGTGGACGCAATTAGACGGTATTGGCCTCCAGGAGCTATCCCAGAGTGCTCTATTGTGACCGCTCTGGATAGCACTTTCAACTCAGATGCACTGGCCAGGTAGACAGGAAAAGGCCCGCAAACTTTTGAATTTCAATTTCCTGTTTGCATGGTCACCTACAGCTTGCCATGGCGGCCAGAGCTCATCAGCAGAGGTGACCATGATGGAGTCCCAGAATCGCAAAAGAGCTGCAGCATGGACCGAACGGGAGGTACGGGTACTGATTGCTGTATGGGGAGAGGAATCCGTGCTATCAGAACTCCGTTCCAGTTTTCGAAATGCCAAAACATTTGTCAAAATCTCCCAGGGCATGAAGGACAGAGGCCATAACAGGGACCCAAAGCAATGCCACGTGAAACTTAAGGAGCTGAGGCAAACCTACCAGAAAACCAGAGAGGCAAATGGCCGCTCCGGGTCAGAGCCCCAAACATGCCGCTTCTATGATGAGCTGCATGCCATTTTAGGGGGTTCAGCCACCACTACCCCAGCCGTGTTGTTTGGCTCCTTCAATGGAGATGGAGGCAACACAGAAGCAGGTTTTGGGGACGAGGAAGATGATAGCTCACAGCAAGCAAGCAGAGAAGCTGGTTTTCCCGACAGCCAGGAACTGTTTCTCACCCTGGACCTGGAGCCAGTACCCCCCCGAACCCACCCAAGGCTGCCTCCCGGACCCGCCAGGCGGAGAAGGGACCTCTGGCGAGTGTACCTTTTAAAATAGTATACATGGTTCAAAAGCAAGCATGTTTAATGATTAATTTGCCCTAGCATTTGCGGCTCTCCTGGATATACTCCCAAAGCCTTTGCAAAAGGTTTCTGGGGAGGGCAGCCTTATTCCGTCCACCATGGTAGGACACTTTACCACTAGCATGTACCAGGCCAGTAGCACGTACTTGGGAATCATTGTAGAACAAAGCATTGCAGTGTATGTTTGCTGGCATTCAAACAACATCCGTTCTTTATCTCTCTCTGTTATCCTCACGAGAGTGATATCATTCATGGTCACCTGGTTGAAATAGGGTGCTTAAGGGGTGCCCGTTCCTGATCGGCTGTTTGCCTGTGGCTGAACAGAAATGTTCCCTGCTGTTAGCCACGGGGACGGGGGAGGCGCTAGCCACGTGGTTGGGGGAGGCAAAATGCGACCTTGGAACGAAAGCACATGTGCTGTGTATGTAATGTTAACAGCAAGGTTTACTGTGAAAGAGTGTACCCATTGTTCGATAAAATGTGTCTTTTTAAATACCACTGTCTCTTTTTTTTTTCCTCCACCAGCTGCATGTGTTTCAAGGATCACAGGATCTTCTCCTTTTTAGAGGCTAGTGAAGATAGAAGGCGAAAAAAAATGCACTTATGATGAAATGTTCTCTGAGCTCATGCTGTCCTCCCACACTGACAGAGCACAGACGAATGCATGGAGGCAGACAATGTCAGAGTGTAGGAAAGCACAAAATGACCAGGAGGAGAGGTGGAGGGCTGAAGAGAGTAAGTGGCGGGCTGAAGCTGAAAGGTGGCGGCAGCGTGATGAGAGGAGGCAGGATTCAATGCTGAGGCTGCTGGAGGATCAAACCAATATGCTCCAGCGTATGGTTGAGCTGCAGGAAAGGCAGCAGGAGCACAGACCGCCACTACAGCCCCTGTGTAACCAACCGCCCTCCTCCCCAAGTTCCATAGCCTCCTCACCTAGACGCCCAAGAATGTGGTGGGGGGGCCTTCCGCCACCCGGCCACTCCACCCCAGAGGATTGCCCAAGCAACAGAAGGCTGGCATTCAATAAGTTTTAAAGTGTTGTGTGGCCTTGTCCTTCTCTCCTCCACCACCCCTCGTGGGCTACCTTGGTAGTTATCTCCCTATTTGTGTGATGAATGAATAAAAAATGCATGAATGTGAAGCAACAATGACTTTATTGACTCTGCAAGTGGTGATCGAAGGGAGGAGGGGAGGGTGGTTAGCTTACAGGGAAGTAGAGTGAACCAAGGGGCGGGGGGTTTCATCAAGGAGAAACAAACAGAACTTTCACACCGTAGCCTGTTCAGTCACGAAACTGGTTTTCAAAGCTTCTCTGATGTGCACCACGCCCTCCTGTGCTCTTCTAACCGCCCTGGTGTCTGGCTGTGCGTAACCAGCAGCCAGGTGATTTGCCTCAACCTCCCACACCACCATAAACGTCTCCCCCTTACTCTCACAGATATTGTGGAGCGCACAGCAAGCAGTAATAACAGTGGGAATATTGGTTTCGCTGAGGTCTAACCAAGTCAGTAAACTGCGCCAGCATGCTTTTAAACGTCCAAATGCACATTCTACCACCGTTCTGCACTTGTTCAGCCTGTACTTGAACAGCTCCTGACTACTGTCCAGGCTGCCTGTGTATGGCTTCATGAGCCATGGCATTAAGGGGTAGGCTGGGTCCCCAAAGATAACTATAGGCATTTCAACATCCCCAACGGTTATTTTCTGGTCTGGGAATAAAGTCCCTTCCTGCAGCTTTTGAAACAGACCAGAGTTCCTGAAGATGCGAGCGTCATGTACCTTTCCCGGCCATCCCACGTTGATGTTGGTGAAACGTCCCTTGTGATCCACCAGTGCTTGCAGCACTATTGAAAAGTACCCCTTGCGGTTTATGTACTCGCCGGCTTGGTGCTCCGGTGCCAAGATAGGGATATGGGTTCCGCCTATAGCCCCACCACAGTTAGGGAATCCCATTGGAGTGAAGCCATCCACTATGACCTGCACATTTCCCAGGGTCACTACCCTTGATATCAGCAGATCTTTGATTGCTTGGGCTACTTCCATCACAGCAGCCCCCACAGTAGATTTGCCCACTCCAAATTGATTCCCGACTGACCGGTAGCTGTCTGGCGTTGCAAGCTTCCACAGGGCTATTGCCACTCGCTTCTCAACTGTGAGGGCTGCTCTCATCTTGGTATTCTTGCGCCTCAGGGCAGGAGGAAAGCAAGTCACAAAGTTCCATGAAAGTGCCCTTACGCGTGTGAAAGTTTCGCAACCACTGGGAATCGTCCCAGACCTGCAACACTATGCGGTCCCACCAGTCTGTGCTTGTTTCCCGAGCCCAGAATTGGCGTTCCACTGCATGAACCTGGCCCATTAGCACCATGATGCCCTCATTGCCAGGGCCCGTGCTTTGAGAGAAGTCTGTGTCCATGTACTCATCACTCACGTCACCGCGCTGACGTCGCCTACTCGCCCGGTATCACTTTGCCAGGTTCTGGTGCTGCATATACTGCTGGATAATGCGTGTGGTGTTTAATGTGCTCCTAATTGCCAAAGTGATCTGAGCGGGCTCCATGCTTGCCGTGATATGGCGTCTGCACAGAAAAAAGGCGCGGAACGATTGTCTGCCGTTGCCCTGACAGAGGGAGGGGCGACTGACGACATGGCTTACAGGGTTGGCTTACAGGGAATTAAAATCAACGAAGGGGGTGGCTTTGCAAGAAACTGAATGGCCCCCTCCAGGATAGAACTCAAAACCTCGAGGATAGAACTCAAAACTGGGTTTAGCAGGCTGTTGATTTCACAGAGGGAGGGAGGAGAAAATGAATACAAAACAAATCTGGTCTATTTCTTGTTTTGAATCACTTCATCTATCTTTATACTTCTTGCTGGCAGCAGACTGTGTAGTACGACCGCTAGCCATCGTCATCTCCTGGGTGCTCGGCAGAAGACGGTGCAGTATGACGACTAGCCATCATCTTCTGCTAGCTGCAGGTTAAAAGACAGTGCACTGCCGGTACGACTCAATCGCCACGAGACGAAACTTAAAAGGGAAATGACCTGGCTGAGTCACTCCCATGTTTGCCCAGGCGCCCGGTTAAAAGAGCACCCAGGATTACGTCGACGACGGCTACCAGTCATATTGAACTGTCTGCTGCCAAAAGGCAAACTGCTGTTGTGTAGCAATGCAGTTCCACGTCTGCTAGCACTCAGGAGACATACGGTGACGGTTAGCTGAGCGGGCTCCATGCTTGCCATGGTATGGCATCGGCACAGGTAACTCAAGAAAAAAGGCGCAAAATGATTGTCTGCCCTTGCTTTCATGGAGAGAGGGAGGGAAGGGGGGCCTGACGATATGTACCCAGAACCACCCGCGACAATGTTTTAGCCCCATCAGGCACTGGGATTTCTACCCAGAATTCAAATGGGCGGCGGAGACTGCGGGAACTGTGGGATAGCCACCCACAGTGCAACGCTCCGGAAGTCGACGGTTGCGTCGGTACTGTGGACACACTCCGCCGACTACATGCACTTAGAGCATTTGTGTGGGGGGACACACACAATCAACTGTATAAAAACGCTTTCTACAAAACCGACTTCTATAAATTCGACCTAATTTCGTAGTGTAGACATACGCTAGGTATCTAAATGGACTTCCTCACTCGTGCCTTGGGTCCTGATTCTGTAATGAGCTCTGCGGCCCTCTCGTTGCAGGATCAGAGCCTCAGTGATTTGAGCCCTTGAGTGGAAGGTGATGAGGAAATGCACTGTATGGAAAAGATTTTCAAAAGCACAAATGGCTGTTTAGCACCCAATTCTCCACTGCCATTTGTGCCTTTGCAGTATCGGTGAAATGGAATAATAAAATTTAATAATTTGGCAGAACAGTGTTTGCCTCAACAGATGTTTGAGGAGGCAGATATTTCTTGTTGCAATACTACTCTTCTGTACTAAGAATTTTCCAAGTGTAACTAAAACTATCACTATAAACTTCTGATCCAGAAAAAACTGGACTGTTTCTCTCCACAGCTATAGAAACAAAGTAAGGCCTGGTCAGCAGTTAAAAGTTTTACTGGTATAACTATCGGTTAGGGGGCGTTTTTTTTTTTTTTTAAACCAACATATTTATGCCAGTACAAGCCCCAGGTTAGACTCAGGTTATACTGGTATAAAGGTGACTTATACTAGTATTGCTTATTTTGGTTTCTAATATAATAATTTTCCCACTTAATATCAAAGCTGTCTAGTATAGACAAACCCTAGGGAAAAAAAACAGTTAACTTTAAATGACAACCTGCAGGTTAAAGTTTTCAGTTCTTTTTAATCAGGTTGCAGGATTGTTTCTGAGCCTCATATAAAGTATAAGATCAGGCCTTTTGTGCTTACTGATCATGTCCCTTTCATGAAGGTTGCTGATCCAGAGGCTGATGACAATATCTGTTGTCTTGTTTTTTGTCACCCAAATAGGTCACTGAGCATGCATGACACTGACACAGCTCCTTCAAAAAGATGAAAAATCACAGCATCCATGTGGTGAGTGCATCGGAGTATGTTATTTTTCTAAGGAGATGATTAAATGACAGTGGGCAATTAGCAGAAAATACAAGAAGTTTTAAGTAGTTTTAATGTGCATGATATAGTTAAAAACAAATTTCAGTTAGTGTGGACAGCAAAAATCATATTTGAACTACGGAAGGATGTTGACTGCCATCAGAATATATCTCATTTGAATGGTCTCAAAATATTTAATGTTATGTTTCCACATAATAATAAATAATAATAATTCTAATTACTATCTGTCATTTTAAGAATTCCGCCTAGTCAGCATAAAACACTGCTGTGCTTGGAAAACTAAAAGGTTTAAATGTTTTTGTTAGGTGTTTTGTTCCTTGTTAATCATCTAACAGCCCAATTCTGCAAACATTTATGCATGAGCTTAGAATTAAGTTAAGCTCACGCATTAATGTTTGGAAGCGAGGAGCCATAAAGCACATACCAGGGCAAAGAACTGGAGCTGACTGGTAGAAGGAAACTGTCCAGTATGGGAGAGGGAGTAGAGAGGGAGTGAGGTTGAATATCTCTAACATGCTAACGACTAAGCAGAATTGGCAAGAACCCACAGATCTTGCACTGATTTTGACTTGCTTTTGAACCTGATTCTCGTCTTTCCTACTGCTGGCTTCTCTAGATTCCTCTCAGCTCAGCTGCCCTGTTAAGTCTGAGGTTTCCTTTCAACCAAGTTTTTAAGTTGACTAAATCACATGGGGCTGCAGAGTTGGCCAAATAAAATAAAACACAGTTCTGATATGGGTCTGAGGCAGATGGGTTGTTGGTAAGCACTAAATGGCCTAAGGAGCATTACAAATATTATTAAGTTAGGTGTTTGCCCTAAAATATAGTTATGAACTAACAAAATACCATAACTGTGCAATGCTGGAACCAGTCCCTCTCTCAGACCTCTTTAAGCCCTGCTCTCAAATCCTGACCCCTCAGGTCATGTCTACAGTAGGAAAATGTGTCATGTTAGAAAACATGTTCATTAACATGTTTTAACTAACATGATGTTAAACGTGATTTTGCCTTAAATGTGTACAAGGACAATCATATTAAAAAATGTTGGATAATTGTGATCAATTTGTTGCAGACAGTTAACACAATTTTAAACACTACTTGTCCCTGACTACATTAGTGCAAAGTAATGTTTTATGTCATGTACAATAAAACATGTTAGTTAACGTTTTTCTAGCATGACTCTCCCCCAGTGTAGGAATAGAGAAACTGTTTCTCTCTCTCAGCTGTCCTGAATCCCTGTACTCTGTCTGTTTGGCTAATTACCATTCCAGTAATCCCTCCATATTCACTAAGAATGACTTGTTTCTTTTCTACAGCACTGGAGATACAGCACTGTCTTTGTAACACTAGTGTATCAGGACTCTGCTTCTCTCTGATGACAATGAACTTTATTCAAAGACAGCAGAACCTTGCTTCTCAAAGTGAGCCTATGCAAAAACAAGTCAGGAAACCCAAAAGACCGTGATTCTGTCACACTGTTTTTCATCTGAGTTTTAGTGACAGTTTCCCCCCCTGCCATTTCTGACAGCTGTAGGAATATAGGACCAGATTAGACCTGAGTGAACTAT